TTTAGAAATAGTTTTTGAGTAGAATTGGGGTTAGCTCTTCTTTAAATGTTCTGTAGAATTCAGAAGTGGAGACATCGGGACTAGGCTATTCTTTGTTAGGAGACTATTACTGATTCAATCTCATTACTTGTTATGGGTCTATTTAGGCTTTCTGTGTCTTCCTGATTCATTCCTGGTAGATTATATGTGTCCAGAAATTTGTCCATCTCATCTAAGTTTTCTTGTTTGTTAGTGTATAGTCATACATAGTATTCTGTCATGATCTTCTGTATTTCTGTTATGTCTGTTATGATATTGCCTCTTTAACCTATTTGATTTATCTGGTTCCTTTTTCTGTTCTTGATTAGTCTAGTCAACAGCGTGTCAATTTTGTTCTTCTTTTCAAAGAACCCATTTTTGGTTTCATTTATTTTCTATATAATTCTTTCATTCTCTGTTTCATTTATTTTTGGTCAAATCTTTATTATTTCTTTTCTCCTGGTATTTTAGGGAGCTTTTTGTTGCTGTTTCTCCAGTTCTCTGAGGTGTGTTTTTAGTTTGTTTATTCACCACCTTTCCATTTTTTTCTTGTGAACCTTAATTGCTATGAACTTCCCTTTTATGACGGCTTTCACTATGTCCCATAGGTTATGAAAACTTGTGTGTTCTTTATCATTAGTGCTCACCCAATCCTGCCCTTCCATTTCTCACCCATGGGATGGTACAGCAAGAGGCTCTTGCTAGATGTCAACTCCTCAGTCTTGGTCTCCCCAGACTTCAGAACCATGAGGAATACATTTCTGTTCATTTAAAATTACCCAATCTGTGGTATTCTACTATAGCAGCGCAAAATGAACTAAGACAGTAGGATAGGATATGATGAATCATACTTTTGTGGACTTCTCCAAGACCTAGAACCTCAGTTTAATGATGAGAAAAACATTAGACAAATCACAATAGAGAAATTTTATGTGAAATACCTGACTAGTATTCCTCAGAAGTGTCAAGGTCATCAAAAACAAGGGAAGTTACAGCCAAGAGGAGCCTAAGGACACATGAGGACTAAATGTAGTGTGGGAACCTGGATGGAATCCTAGAATAGAAAAAGTGCATTTACTAAAAACTAAGGAAATCTGAATAAAGTATAGATTTTAGTTAAAAGTAGTGTATCAATACTGATTCACTAATTGTGATAAATATACCATGCTAATGTAGGAACTTGATAACAGGGGAAACTGGGTGTGGGAGTATATAGGAACTCTGTATTTTCTCAGTAAATCTAAAACTTTAAAATAAAAAGTTTATTTTAAAAAGAGAGAAAGAGGGATGGTGCCCCCCTCTTTCCTGTGTAGACGTTCATACTATTTGGAGCCCAGATGGCCATCTTTTGACTCTAGAAATGTCAACTCATGTCCCTAGTCAGGAAAAATAAATCTCCCTATTTGAACTGTATGGGGCCATGTGTCTTGGTCACTGCAGTCAATTGCAGCTCAACTGATACTCGTCATATCATTTTCATGGCCATCATTTGAGTTTAGACCTTCAACTCCCTGCCCAGACCTTTGGTCTCTTTCATGTCCTTCCTTCATGATCTCCTGATGGCTTTTTCCCTTCTCCTGCTTCACCGCTGTTTGCTCCTCTCCCAACACCAACTGCCAGGGAATGGCCACTGTTTGCAATTCTTAGAGTGTATTCTCTCTCACTTTTGAACTTATATACATTTGACTGCCTCTGCTAGGAATGCCCAATCCTGCTTCTTTACTTCTTGCAGCAAATAAGGACCCTTACTCAAGTTGCAGCTCACAGTGTGTGGTGAGGATTCTAGGATCTCCCTGAAGACCCCTGCTTACTGGTATACATGATGGGCATAACTCTCAGTCCTATAAATCTAAAGTTATGTTTTGTGATACATTATTTGGGTGAGCTTGATCTAATCATATGAACTCTTTGAAAGTAGAGTTTTTTTCTAGCTGTTAGCAAAATAGGAAGTTAGAGATCTAACTAATATGGGAGAGAGATTTGACTTGCAAGAAATTCTATGTTGCTGGCTTTGAGAATGAAGTAGGATGCCTGCTAACCAACTAAAAGCAAACCCAGAAAGTGGGACCTCAATCATACAGCCACAAAGAAATGGATTCTGCCATCAAGAATTAGCTTAGAAGACCTTTCCCAGGCCAACAGCCTAGGTGACACCCTGATTTCAGCTTTGTGACACTCAGAGCATAGATCCCAACTACACTGTAGTGCAAACTTTGAGCTGCAGAACTGGGAGGTAATAACTGTGAGGTGCTGTTTTAGGTCCCTAAGTCTTTGTTATGCTGCGATAGAAGACTAACATCATCCCTCCTTTCTGAAGTCCTCTCTCATGTCCCCATACCTGTGACATCTTCCACTTTGCTGCAGTGGTACCTGATACATATTCTTATTGCACTGCAAGTCACTCTGTACTCTAATTATCCCCCTACCTGTCTACCCTCCTCACAAAATTCTGAGCTCCTGAGAGATGAGGACTATGGTGCTTTATCACTGCAGTTCCAGGCACAGGGTAGGAAGGTAAAAAATATGCATGGAATGAAGGTTTCATCAAGAAAATAACCCCAAAGATCATGGATTCATAATTACATACACTAAAATAACCACAGGTGCTAGAGATTTAATATCTAAGAGGGAAAGTCACTAATATAAAAAAGAGAATGGAGAGAAAGAAAGAATATGAACTACAAATATACACAGGATGTTTCCAAGGAAGCCTGAAGTGAAAGGTGTGGCAGGTGAGGGAAGGGAGTGGAGGAATGAGGAAAACTATCTCTAGATTACTTAGTAAACAAACAAGTATTTATCCAATGCCTGCTATGTGGTTAGGCTAGGAACTGTGGAAAACAATGTATTAGTTTAAGATTTAAAGGCTATCCTCAAGGATTCCAAGACCCACCTTTCGGCATCATACATGTATTAGAATGTTAAAATCAAAGGAACCTTAAAGACCTTGAAATTTTGGGCACACATAAGCTGCAAAGTCCTCTACTTTCTAATCAAGTGGGAGCAAATAAAATTTCCATTTATGTTTGTATTTTTGAGGCACGCATCCTTACTTCCGCATATTTGACGCCTTTGCTAATGGGTCTGTAATACAGCTCCCAAAGGGGACCTGGATACTTTGCTATTTCACAACACGCTCTCCTTCTTCCCAGCTCCGAGAGAGCTCAGCTCCCTCCACCTGCTAACACCACCAACCCCCAAACCATGACAGCTCCTTACCTATGGGCCAGGTGGGGGCTGCTCCTGGGGCTATCATTGCAAATGCGGGAGTAGAAATGAGGTAAAGAAGAGCAGGAAAGGAGGGGTTCCAGAACATGCCCAGAACAGGGAGGAAAGGTGAGGAGGTTGTTATGGGGTATGGAGGAAAGGAAGGGTGATGGGGCAGGGAAGGTGCGCTCAGGATCTGAGGGTAAGGGGATAAACCTCGGAAGGCAGGTGGCTCACACCACCGCAAGCTCCAGTACTGGCCCGACTAATGCACATGTTACTCTGCAGGCAATGGAGAACGGAGGAACGATTTGGCGAAGGGAGAGAAAGGAATTCAGGTTTCGGCTCTGCCGCTAGCTTGAGGCGCGGCGTCTACTCGTGTCCCTGGGATGAGTTTCCAGTCCGTCGAACTGAAGAAGTAACACCTGTTGGACCAACCCAGCCCGGTGTTAAGAACTAAAGAGAAAGCGCATAAAACCGTAAATTGTTTAAGGTCAGGTGACAAGTCCACAGTAATTTCCAAAGCCCCTGAGGAAAAAAAGTCGGAAAGTGGACAGGCAGATAGCTTTCGGACAAAATGACAGGCAGATAGCTTTCTGCCTTGCAACTGACTTGCCATGGATTCAGGGTCTGTTGCTGCCTCTCCTCGCTCGACTGCCCAAGGCTCGGCGCCTAGACCGGGGCGCCCCTTCCCGGGCTCTACCTCAGAGTCTGAGGTCTGGGCACGGGAGGAGGCACGGGAAGAGTGAGGTGCGTTTGCATGTGCACGCGGAACTTCGCAGGAAGCCTGCAGCCAGAGACAGGGCCGCGTGGAAAGGAGGGGCCGCGCTGGACAGCACAGAACTGGGATTCCCCGCGCCGCTCAGAGGGCGGGCCCGTG